GGGACTGTGGGTGGGTGACAAAGGCCCCCCCCCCCCCAGATTCACCGCCACCCGGGAACAATGGAGATGGTTCCTCTTCCTCTTGGCTGGAAGCAATTGTTGGCCCCTCCCTGCTGACCTTCTGTCTTCTGGAAGGCCTCCACCAAATTCTGCACCTCTGCTTGGATCAGCTCCTCGCCTTCTCGCTTGCCCATGCCCAGGTCCCGCAGAGCCAGCAGGGTGAACTTCCTCAGCTGTTTCCACCGCTCCCCATTGGCAAAGAAAACCCCTGCATAGAAGGCTAGATTCAAGAAGGGGACTGGTTCCTTCCTCCTGGTGAGATGCGCCCCAGGGCCCTGTTCTGAATCTTTACCAGCCTGGCAGATGTGTGTGTGTGGTGTGTTTGTGTATGTGTTTGGGTGTATGTGGTATGTTTGTGTGTGTTTGTGTGTAAGTGTGTGTGTCGTGTGTGTTTGACTGTTATGTATGCTTGTGTGTGGTGTGTTTGTGTGTGTATGTGTGTGCTCATGTGCGTGGTGTGTTGGTATGTATGTGTTTGTAGTGTGTTTGTGTGTATGTGTGGTGTGTGTTTGTGTGTATGTGGTGTGTTTGTGTGTATGTGTGTGTGTCGTGTGTGTTTGAGTGTATGTATGTTGGTATGTATGTGTTTATAGTGTGTGTGTATGTGTGTGTGTCGTGTGTGTTTGAATGTATGTATGTTTGTGTGTGGTGTGTTGGTGTGTGCGTGTTTGCAGTGTGTTTGTGTGTGTGTGTGGTGTGTATATGTGCGTTTGGGTATATGTGTGTGTGGTGTGTGTGTGTGTGTGTGTGTGTGTGTGTGTGTGTGTAATGAGGACTCAGTAGGTATTCCATAAGTGCATAATTGAATTAGCTTTTTATCCTTTGATCTTAAGCCAGAAGAAATAGTCTCTTAAATGTGTGACTAACCCCTCCCTTGTCACCTTTTTATCTCTTTTTGTCCCATGTGCCCATCCCAGCACATTTGGGCAGATGAAGCCGTGGTGAGAATAGGAACAGAAAGCAAGATGGTTGAAATTACACGGTCTTCTCCTTTGCCCATGACACTTGCTCTGCACAGATCTCCCCTTCTGAGCTCAGTGCCGTGGCGCTTGTTGAAGGCTGGCTTGTAGTGGCAGCTGGAATCTGTCCTTGGCCCCCTCTCATGTCTGAAACTAGCTTGTAGACCTTTCCTCTCCCCACCTCAGCCCCACCATGCACCCTCTGAACAGAGCCCTGGGCCCCTCAGGCTCTAGTCTCTTCCAAATACCATCTCTCCCATCCTTAGGCTGGTCCAGCTTATCTCTTCCCTGGGCTTCCATCCTTCAGTTCTACTCACTTTGCAGTCTTTCCCTGTTGTAAAGGCACAGACCTCAGAAAACCAGAAGCCCGGCGGCTCTGGTTGGTGTGACTCACAGGCCTGCAAGGTGACCAGAGTCACGCTGACTTTCAGCTTTATTAATCATCCACTACAACTTCTCTCATTTCCTCAAAGGCATCATGGTCCCCCACCCTGACCTGGGCCCTTTGCTGTTTCCTCTCTCTGTATCATGCTCACACCCCTCCATCATTTTAGGAGTTGTTGGCCATGAACCTAGGGCATTGTACATGTTAAGCTCAATACCAATAAGTCATGTCCCACCCAGCCCCTCACTGGGGGATTCTAGGCAGGGGCTCTACCGCTGAGCCACGCCCCCAGCCCCTCACTGGGGGATTCCAGGCAGGGGCTCTACCGCTGAGCCACACCCCCAGCCCCTCACTGGGGGATTCCAGGCAGGGGCTCTACCGCTGAGCCACACCCCCAGCCCCTCACTGGGGGATTCTAGGCAGGGGCTCTACTGCTGAGCCACGCCCCCAGCCCCTCACTGGGGGATTCTAGGCAGGGGCTCTACTGCTGAGCCACACTCCCAGCCCCTCACTGGGGAATTGTAGGCAGGGGCTCTACCACTGAGCCACACACACACAGCTACTCACTGTATAGCCAAGTGAATCCTTTTCAAAAAAATTTTTACTTAACTTTTTTCTTTTTTTCTTTCTTTCTTTCTTTCTTTCTTTCTTTCTTTCTTTCTTTCCTTCCTCTCTCTCTCTCTTTCTTTATTTTTTGAGACAGGGTTTATCTGTATTGCTTTGGAGGCTGTCCTGGAACTAGCTCTTGTAGATCAGGCTGGTCTCAAACTCATAGAGATCTGCCTGCCTCTACCTCCCGAGTGCTGGGATTAAAGGCATGCGCCACCACCTCCTGGCTTATTTTTTATTTCTCTGTATGTTTTTGTATGGTCACGTGTGTGTAAGTGCTTAGAAAGGCCATAAGAGGACGTCAAACCTCTGAAATTGGAATACAGACTATTGCCAGCTGCCCAGGATGGGTACTGGGAACAAAACTCTGTAAGAGCAGCAAATGTGTCAGATGGTGGCGCACGCCTTTAATCCTAGCACTCGGGAGGCAGAGGCTGGAGGATCTTTGTGAGTTCAAGGCCATCCTGGTCTATAGATCGAGTTTCAGGACAGCTAGGACTGTTATATAGAGAAACCTTGTCTCAGAAAACAAAAACCAAACCAAAACAAGAACAACAAAAAGCAGCAAGTGTTCATAACTGCCGGGCCTTCTCTCCAGCTCCCATCCTGTTAATTTGAATTGTTTATGATTTTTTTTTTCTGAGAGGGTCTTGCTATGTGTAGCCCAGGCTGGCCTGAACTCCCAGCAATTCTCCTGAATCAGTCTGTTGAGTACTTGGATTAAAGGCTAGAGCAATGCTTCACTCTCCTTGATGAATTCCACTTATCCTCTGTGTTTCAACCTAGACGTAACCTCCTCTGAGAAGCCTGCCTGCAGCCCCGCCTCACTCCAGTTCCTCAGCCCCCTCCTCATCCTGCCCTTCAAGCTGTACTTCTCATTTTAGAATCCCATCCTCTCACCCCGTGTTGTTTTTACCACAGGTCTCACACAGTGAGAGGACACTGCATCGGCCTTGGTCACCCTTGCGTCCTCAGTACCTGGGACAGGGCCAGGCACAGGGAGGGGGGGGGGCTAAAGGAATGTGTCCCTCTCCCTCCTCCCTGTCAGAACTTGTATGTCCTGCCCGGGACACAACTTCCTCTCTCTCTCTCCAGCTTGGGCATCTTCTCTTCTTGGATATCCCTCAGCAAACATGCCGGGCCAGGGCCGGCCTATGGAATTCCTAGAATCCTAGATTTTCCCCATGCTAGCTTGTCCCTCCCATCCTGGCCAATTCCTCCATGTGGTTACTGTCTGATGACAGGTCTGTCTGGGTGCTCTAGGGGAAGTAGGCAGCACTATCTGAGTCACCACCACGCTGTCAGGCTTTTCTGTGCTGCTGGAGATTGAACTCAGGGCTTTGAACATGCTACACATGCTTTCTGTCTTAACACGAAGAATTATTTCAGTGTTTTGCTCACCACCCCACCCTTTTTGGCTCAGGCATGGAATTTGTGGCCTTATACAAGCTAGGTAAAGGACATGTCCCCTCCCCATAGCCCTTCATTGGTGAATTCTAGAGAAACACTGCTGAACTCCTCTGTCAGCCCCCTACTGGGAGATTCTAGGTAGGGGCTCTACCACTGAGTCACACCCCCAGCCCCTCACTGGGGGATTCTAGGCAGGGGCTCTACTACTGAGCCACGCCCCCAGCCCCTCACTGGGGGATTATGGGCAAGCATTCTTCACTGAACAAGACCTGCAGCCATCACTGATGGGTTCTGTGCAAGTCCTACCACTGAACTATGTATCCTTAGTCCTAGTTTTTTTTCAAGACAAGGTCAAACTGTCTTGTGCTATGTAGCTCAAGCTGGCCTTGAACTCACTATGCAGCCCAGGTTGGCCTGTCTATCAATTAACAGAGCCCCGCGTAGTAATTATCACTAGAGGTTGACAATCAGTGAGTAAACACTTGTCACCAGCCCATTGCTCCTCATCACAACCCTAAGTGACAATCACAATTATCCCATTTCAGTAGAGAAGGAAAGAGAGACATCAAGTCACCTGCAGCCCCCATTTGCCCTCATGGCTCATTACTCACCATGACCATCAAAAGTCTTGTCCAGCGTTGCCAACGTTCCCCGCCCGCTGAATTCCTCAGCCTGACCTCCCAAGGCCTCTCTCACAGCGTCATGTCCAACCAGGACCACCACGCGGCGCCAGGGGCCCAGGTGTATCGTGAACACAGGCCCATACTTCTTGCTTAGCTGGGGGCAGAAAGGGAGAAGAGGGTGGTGGTGACTGGTCCCAGAAGCTGCCAGCCAGGCTGCATTCGTTCCAAACCCTGTCCTCGGGCAAGTCATGTGGTCCGGCTTTTGCCCCCTGGTATAGGTCTCCCCAGCAAAAGCATCCCTTTTTCGCACGGGAGTGTAGAGTGGGTGCTTCTTAAACACCCCCCTTTGACTTCCCCTCACTCCCAGGCTCTAAA